TGCTGAACGGGCGATGCAGCGGCAGGGGAAACTCGCGGCCCGGACACGCAGACCCCAAGTAACCCTGGAACAATGAACTCCTGTCCTGCCAGGGCTGGGTAAGCAGCGCTGTTCCTCCAGCCAGGAAGGAACCAACTCCCTTCCCAAATACTGCTCTTGCAAAGGCAACTTATCCTCTTCGGAGAGAGGAACAGGAATAGAAAGAGCCGTACACCACACCCTCCGAAGGATCCTTCATATCGCTATGATTTTGAGTGCTGCACCTGGGACACGAACAGTCCTATTTGCTTGTTTTCACATGTCGTTATCGCACCCGCCCGTGTGGGAAGGGCACCAACTGCACTGTTTACCCACAGGCCACTCACAGGTGAGGAGAAACTTCATAGAAGCTGACACCACGGTATCGCTCCATGTTCTGTTTGCTGTAGATTTCCAGTTCCTTGTATGGATTAACAGATACCAGAACTGAGCCAATGTACGTCTGAAAAAAAGCACACAAAGTAGAGAGGTTACAGAAGGTCTGGCAGCAGATCCTCCGAGAGCCCAGGCTGCTCTGAAGGCCGTACGCTGTGGACAAGGGCTGCCCGCAGCGGTGCACCGGGGACGCTGCTGAGGGCTTCCGAAGAGGCCGAGGGTGCTGAAGAAGCGACCTCTCAGCGCAGTGAGAATGGCTTTGCAGGAGTTACGCCAGACACGTTATCTTTGCTGAAAAAAGAGCACCTATGAACGGTTTTAACAAGCAAGAACACCGGATTATTTCTGACATACCATTTGGGATCAAGTTCAAGCCTGGCGTTGCTGAAAGCCCACCACAGAGTGAATTCACAAAATGGAAGAATGTGGTGAGAGTTGGATTTTCAGTGCTGGCAAGACCTGTAAATGCCAGCAGACCTCAGCTGGAGCGCTGCAATGAGTCCCTACATCTGTTAACACGACAGCATCCCAGACTAGTTCTGACACAAGCAACCACGGTCTATTAAAGTTGATACCACCATCTCCAAATCCAACTGCAGAGCAAAGCTATGGCACGTCTTCCGCAGCAAACACCCAAATTCAGGTCACTGATGAACACTTTGGCATCTGTCACTCTGCTACTCACATAGATCAGATTCTCCTTGAAGCGCTTACGCAGATTTTCAATAAACGCTGCTTCGCTGGTGAAGTTCTCAAGCAGGACAAAATCCTGCACGCCCACCCGGTCGCGGGCCGTCAGGGCGCTCTCCATGGTCAGCCGAATGCCGTTAGTCCCCGCTCCCTGCAACCAAAAGCAGAGGAAGGTTGGGAGATCTGTGGTTTTGTGTGCAGCTCGCTGAGCCCACAAGAACGATTAAGCACAATTACCCATGGACAACCTATGAACAGGAGAGGATATTAGAATAACCCCGCTACTGTTGAAAACGCTAGTCAGTGTATACAAACACTTTATCAATTGGTTTATACTAATTGCTTTGAGGGAAGAGAAGCCAGCATTAAGGAAAAGTTATTGCTAAATTGCCAATCACTTTAAAGGACTCAATCAAACATGCATTTCATAAAGAGAATAAAACTTGGATTTCCTTTCCCAGGCATCCTTTAGCAGGAGCGAGACTGCAATATGTTCTCTCTCCTTTTCTCCCTCATTTCACAACGGGAAGTCGTTTCGAGGTAAGGAATCTTTTATGACTAATGATGATTCATCTCATGAGCAAACGGCTTCACATTGCTGACCAATTTAAAAGCTTTAGCAAGACACCCAATGGGAAAATTCGGAACTAATGAGAAATGGGCATTTCTGCATCCCATGCCACTGAATTTACGGTGACACCAACATCTATCCCATGCATCAGGCAACTTCTATTCCCTGACCCTCTTTTAAAGGTCACATTTTCAACGTGATGTGCTTCAGACACAACCATCTTCGGAAAACACAGGTCTGCTGACTTCTTACTTCATTCAACCTCACGTACTAAAAGAGGGAGAGGAAATGTGCAGCGTGTGACTCAGCTGCTGCTTGCAGGGAGAACTTCTACTAAAGGCAATTCGACCCGACGGACAGACGACGTACAAGGCGTAGAAGACAACAGACACTACAGAAATCAGAGACAGGAGATAGAACGTTTTAAACAATTTGCCTCACATCCGTCTGCATTTCCTTATCACATTCTTAAACCCTTCTTATTTTGCCAGCGCCTCACAGCAAGCACCCTTCTCCTAAATCACTTCCCTAAAGCACTAAGGCTTTTCAGAGAATCTGCTGTTATATTCTGGGATGTTGCCATCACTGGCACAAACGCCACTGGAGCTTGCTCCTGAACGGGCTCGTGCACGGATAGCAACACCCAGGCACCCTCTCCTGCATTGGTGCTGCAAACCGGGAATGCCGGAGCCCTGCTGCAACGCTGCCGTCCAGCCCCCAAACCCTGCACAATGACGTAGATGATTTTTGCTGAATCACGTTGTCAGGTAGTTCCTTTCTGCTCCTTCTCAAGATATAATAGTGGTCAGAGCACAGGGACTGATGGCGTGTAGG